TAACAGTTTATACTGGGACATTGCAAAGTGCATCTGAATGCTCCAGGGCTGTCAGCAGAGAGAGAGTGAAGGGAGCAGCAGCAATTGCCAGACTGCTATGCCCTGTCTGAGCTGGGGTGGGGAACATAAGTTCTAAAGCAGAGCAGTTTAATCAGTCTGATTAGATGAGGGTTAATATTTTGCGTGATCAGCTATTTTAGAAGTGCTCTCCAGGTGTGCACTTGTGTTAGGGCACAGCTGTAGAGCACTTTCAGGGGCCAGATCACACAAAAAATGTCACTTCTGTCTGAGCCCCAAGTGAGCAGGAGTTTTTCCATTTATATCAGAGGGTTCTTTGTTATCTCCAGACTAAAATCCTTGCAGTATACTGTATGTTGGGGTACACTAATAGACCACTCAGGATGTGTCTACGCTAGGTTTTAATGGATGCGTCTACATGAGATGCTTTACTGTGCAGCAGACTAATTTGGTGTACAGTAAAGCATTACCATCTACACATGCGTGGCAATTAGGTCACAGTAGACTAATTTTCTGTGCTGCTGGATAGTCCTATCAAGTGCAAGTGGTATCCAGCAGCATAATAAAGTACTGCACTTAAATGCACATGTAGATGGTGATATTGGGATTAGCTTACTCCTGCTCAAATTGAGCTAGATTCTAAAGTATATTGAGTCACATTAATTGCATGTATAGATGCACTGTGTTGCATTGAAATAGTTATCTGAATTCTAATCAGAAAAGTGTGGGTTGTTGGGGGAGCAGGCTGTAATCCTCACTCTCAAGAAAGCCTTTTAGAGTTGCAATAGAATCTGAGCAACACATTTGCATATTTTTTTCCCCTTGGATAGTATGGTGACTTAACAGTGGGACTCTCATCATATGCTCATTTCAAAGTCTGTATTTGGAAATGCCCTCCTGTTGATTCTGAACCCAGAGAAAGTTAAATAAAGATTTAGGCATCTTGAAGCTACTGCAAATGAAGCACGCTTATTTTTCATTGATCTTCATTAAAAACAATCATATCCTTAAAGTATTAGCTATACTCTGGAAAAAATGACTAAAACTAGCATCATGGTGTTCTGTGTTTATTGTCCCTAAATGACAAACAGATCAAATTTACAAGTAAAATAGTATTATTTTTTCCCTCTAGCTGCTAGCAGGCAAACTCCACTGAGACTGTGAATATCAAGCTGTGCTCCTTTTGACTTTGCACCAACAAAATCAAAATTCTGTACTTGGAATGTCATTAATGCTGCTGATGATGCAAGAGGCAGAATAGAAGTCAGCTCATTCTCTTCTACAGCTTTGTTGATTCTGTGGTGATGAAGGGCTTGAAATATTTATTTTTTCCTCTTAAAGGAAAAAATAAAGTTACTTCTTTGAACATACTTGTACTGTAATGCTATTTTTAAAAGAAGGAATAGATCAACATTTTAGGAAACGCAGAAAGATGAACATTAAGTATTAAATCAAATAAACCAATCCCCTGATAAAGATAAGTGTTATCAGTGTACCCCTTTGCTCTCAAATGCAACATTACAGGTAGTGACAGGGAACCCTCAGCACTCTCAATTAATCATTCAAGTTACAGAATTATCTCTCAGAAAATATCTGTATTTCTTCTTATTGACTTTGATTATATGCTTTTCTCTCAATGTCAAAATACTGATAATTATTTTTTCTTCCAAATAACATAACAGTCTTGGATGTTAACATCTATTACTTGTAATACTCCACTTTGTTAGGGTCAACATAATGCAAGAACATAACATCTTTTGGGTATTCATTGTGGCTAACAGTAGTTGAGCAGATCAAATCTGAATGCTTGAATCATGTTATCAGCAACAGATAAAGAAAAATAACTGTCTCAGGGACAGAGTTAAATGTACTGAACCCAGTGGACTTGCACAAGTAGCCAGGTATGAGATAAAAATGGTCAGGTCTGGATTTAAATAATCCATGCAGATATAGAATGCTGCCATATACAAATATGTTCCTGTGTTCTGCATACTCTTAGCTATCTGTAAAAAATCCATTTCCATAGTGATCAGACATGCAGAATGGTAATTTCCTGAAAGTTCAGGATCCTGGCTAAGTGGAAATACTTCTGCTAGACTAATATCATTATATGAACCACATGACATGAGGGGAAAACTATCTGTTCATGGCAGAGACTACTGTCTCAGAGCCTGGGGTGAATTTCATCCCTGACTCACAAAGATACTTCTGAGAGAAAGTTTTACCCTAAGTTGCATGTATTATCAACTTTTCCTCAGGAGGTGATGGATTTGTCCCACCACAAACACTTCATCTGCCAACACTGTCTTATGTAAATTACTTGCACAATGCAGACCAGCATTAAATTATCTTGTCCTGAAATATAGATATCTCAGTCTTTTCAAGTCCTTTGTTTTTTTACTTCCTTTTTTGTCCCCAGACCATTTTTGTTAATTTCTGCAGATGACTACCAGGGTGTGATCTTCCAGGTCTCTGGAAAAGCTTTATGTTCTGAAGGACACATAACAGTACTTCTCAGGAAGAATTCCCTTATGGGTGAAACATAAGGGGCACGTGTACATGTTCAATTAATGCACACAGATAACCTCCAGAGCTTATTACTCCAGAGTTTTTTGCCTCCAGGCACACTGTTTGAATGTGTTCCCAGGAGCAAGAAACCGGAGCATATTGATCCAGAGTTTCTTTGTGCACAGCACATGGAGCCTGGTAGGAGCAGCCCAGGCTGTAAGGGGACCCAGGGGGTCAGCCTGCCAGCCTGGGGGTGCCCTGACTGGGCTCCACGTACTGTGGAGGAACTGGCTGAGGTGCAAGGATGCTTCAGCATGGGGGCTTGCCTGCTGGTTAGCTGCACACTGAAGCACTCTGTGCCCTCTGTGCCCTGTGCCACAGCCAGCTGTGGTAGCATCTACATGCGCACTGCTGCTCATGAAAAAACTCTGCAGAAGGGTAGGACTTGTGTTTTACAAGTCCTATCCTGATTGCAGAGTTTATTCATTCTAGGTCTCACATGTAGAAGCTGAGATGTTTACTGCACGGTTAATTAATCAACTATGCAGTAAATGTCTCATATAGATGCATCCAAGAAAATCAGTTCCTGGCTTCACCACAGACTTTTCTGTGCCACCTTGAGCCAGCCCATTAGCATCAGATTGTGTATGTTTTACTCATATTGCTGAACAGTTATCCTAATGAGCAGTTCATTGACTTCTAATTTGTGTCAGAATTGGACATCCTTCCACTGAACAGTTTTCATTCCTTGAATATTGCAGTTGATTTCACACTGGCATTGCGCTGAATAAGAGTGGCAGTGATAGGATCTTGCTTGCAATCTCACTTTCTGTCAGTTCTTCTGCACCTTACATCAGTGCTGGGCGGATAAACCCATTACTACTTGAGAGGCACTTATATGCTGTGGGCCTGATGTCCTATAAAAGAGATTCTGAAGGGAAATATTTTTTTCCCTAAATTTTCTTCTATGTCTTGCATTCAACTCAAGAAATAACTGTCTGGAGAAAATGCTACCACTATAAAAAGAAGCACCAATAACTGAAAACTTTTTTTCATTATCTAAATAGCTATGAGGTGTCAAGATGTTTTCCTTAATGTTGCCAGGCAGTTATACCAAAGACTGAGAAGCAGAACTCCTTGAATCTGTTGTAAGCTCATCCAGTAACACATCGCTTCACTTTGTCCAAGTCCCAGAATTTCTTTGCCTCCGTTTTCCCAGCTGCAAATCAGATACATAGATCTTATCTGTCTCAGAGAGAGAGAGAAATCTAATGCTCATAAGCAATTGAAAACCATAACTAGAAGTTGCTTTGTAGGTGCCAAGCACTATTGTTTTTATTGCTGATGAATTATTTTTATTTCATGGCAGTGTCATTAAAATCAGTGAACCTAAAGTTTTCTCACTGTTTTCATTACAAGACCTTCATGTGGTATAATCCAGAAATAAATAATCTCCGGAATCAAAACTTTAAGCACAGCTCTACCAAAAAAAGTTTCTTTTATTTTGTTGAGAGTTCACAAAATAAACATCAAGTGGGAATAAAAAATAAATGGCCCCTCATGCTAGGACTTCAAAATGGCTGTTTTTTATGCTGATCCTTTGCAGGTTATTGGTCTAAACCTACTGTGGTATAGTACTTGACAGGATAAGAAGGAAAATGAAACGATAATGCTGGTTTATTTAGGAAATTGGCTATATTTCATGCTGAGCAACTTTGGTCAACCAAAATTGCTTAAAAAGAACTTTAGGATACTAATTTAAGTTTTCAGCTTGCAAGCTCTTATGCGTGTAGGTAACTGTCTCACTGAGTTCAGTTGTGACAAATTATTTCCTTTGTAGGAGTTGTGGTTTCAAAATATATTGTGATTTCACCATAAATGTTACCAGGACAAAAAATTTTGAGAAGCTGACATCCATCTCTACTGAGACTTAGTAACTTTGAGGAGAATTAAGGTCCAGCAGTGCATTTTAAAACTCATAAATCTAAGATGGTTCAAATTTCATTGCAGTTTTTCTTCTGCCCTTTTTTCCCTTACATTTTGACTTCTGCCTCAATAAAACCCTAATTGTAAATGTCTCCAGTTAATTTTGCCCCACTGTGGCTTTCTTACAAAAAATAAAAGAACCCAAGCAAAACCACACAGAGAGAACCAGAGAGCACCTGCTCATACTTTACATGTGTTTCATAAATGCAGTTTAGCTTCTTGCCCTTGCCCTGTCAGCCTTCATAAGCACTGAATTTATCATTTTAAGTTTAAACACACAAAATCCAATCTGTCTTCAATTCGCAAGTGTCATCTCTGAATGTTATTAATTAAAAGGAACAAGAATGTAATACATCTGGGTTAAAAACCACTGCTTACTCTATAAGACCATGTGTCCACAGAACATGTTTTTTTTTATCCTCTGGAAAATTTACATCTATGCCTGTGTTCCATGAAACGAGTTTAAACTTCTATTTTTACTTTTTAAGGTATGGGCTGTCTGTTGAAAGTATCTTCCAGAACTGGCTTGACACTTCTGGAATACCAAAGGTAAATGAAAATACCTCTCTTCAATAGTTTCCAGACAATGACTTTTTCAAACACATTGTTCAAATCACTGCCTGTATTTATAACAGGTACAGCACAAAATAAATCTCTCGTTTGATGACATCTGCTCTGCATGTCTTTATACTGTATTCATGTGGGCTCAATTTTGATCAGTTACAGGTTTTTTCCTTCTACTTTCATCTCAACAAAGCTGCCAAAGGGGAAATCTTTCAGTTTTATTACTAATCACTCTGGTCACTGGAAAGTGTGCTGTGAGGTATTGTAGTGGGGTTCCACTACAAGTAAGGAGCATTGTTCACAGATGTTAATTTGTGAATTACTGACAGATACACTGACAGCAATAACTTCAATAACTATTAAATTATTTGTACTTTGATATTTTGTGAATATTGAGACGTTCGTAAATCTTCTGAATTTATTAAGTGAGTTACATTTATTGCAGTAAAGCACTACTGTCGATAAGATGGGGTAATCCTTTTGATTTAAAGGTTGACTAAAGGTGAAATCTCTGAAATCCTTGTTCTTCTTTATAATATCCTTTGTTCTGTCTTCATAATATTTGCCATGCCTCACTAGTCCAAATATGTGCTCTTTTGAGCAAGAAGGTCTCAAAATACCACCGCCCTGCCAGAAAAAAACCAAACCATAGTCACCTGATTTTGCAGGTTTTTTTAGATTCAAATTTGGGGCTTGTTTATATTCAAACCTCTGCTCCATCCCCAAACTGATTTTGGTCACTTGGGATTTATTTTAGCTAGTGCCTGGCACCAACTGCCCTCTTGGGAGAAGTAATACTGAAACAGGACAAAGTTGGTACGTGCTAAACTAAGGAGCCTAAAAGAGGCTATATAAGAAATAAGATTAGGGGGTCTGTTGAAGCCAGAAGATTTTCAGGCAGTTTCTTAATAAAATATCTGGGTAGTTCAAGGTGACTTGTATGGTCATTCAATCTGAGTTGTACCCATGTATTATGTGCTTGAGCATTACCTTTAGCCACTTTCAGAGAATGGATAAGGATATCTTTTCCTTGTTTTTTCTTTGCATTCTGCAGGGCTTTTTCTGGAAATTTTGCACTGAGACCAGAATACTTGCTTTCCGAATAATATTGTAAAATGCTGTAAAATCCAGATTCTATCTGTTTTTACTTTGAAATCAGTATAAAGGCAATTAACATTACTTAGACAAGATACTAAGCAGTTAGGATGGTGAAATTGTTATTCACAGTATTCTCTAATTTCCTGAACAACTGAGCTGAGTGTGATCAAAGAAAAGCAAGTAGCTTTTTGGTCAAGGTTTGGTTCCTGATACAGAACCCCCTGATTTGAGCCACTCATAAAATGTGCTTATTCATAAATTTTAGTACTGAGACAGGGAATATAGGAACTGATGGCAATAAAGAGGGAACACACGGCAGAAAGTCAGAGCAGTACAGGTTGGTGTGAACGTTAGAAGGAAGCTTAAGAACTCTGCCCCTTTGCCAGCATTTGCCTCTTAGGACTGTATTAGGACACAACTCTTGAGGGGTCAGCTCACCCCTACCCAGTGATTCTTAAGGGATCATTCCAACACTATGCATTTCAAAACTCAGTTCAGTGATTATGATTAAGAACTAATCCAAGCATTAGTTATTTTTTTTGATCCCACAGTGAAAGAAAAATCACCCTCAAAGGGACTTCTCTGTGTGAGAGTTCAGATGTGCTCACAGAGCAGAACTAAAAAGGGAGAAAATGTGGGTGCCTTCAACCCAAGTGATGGGCTTTAGAGGAAGGGAAATAGAATCATTTGTGCTCTAACCCTCAGTATTCACTTTCCCAACAAGTACAAGTACATCTCTCAGACTGACTAAGAGAGGGCTTAAGGGACTAAGAGGCACTTGAGAGGCTTCCCTTTCCCCCACTGGTTTCTGATCACGGGAAGGAACCCAGAACAGAACAAGAGTTTTGAGAGGTATAATCTCCATCAGTTTTCTTATCTCCTTCCTTGTTTTTAGTGCAAATGAGCCTGTGCAATGTGCTGAGCATACCTATTCTCATTTCCTCCCCTATCCTGTGTCCAGGCACCCTCTTCTTCTGCGTGCTGATACTAAGGAAAAAAGAGGTCAGAGAAGCAAGGGCATGTTTGAGGAGGAAAGAAGGAAGTGAGAGACATACTGTGGGGGATCTAGGCAGGCCCTCAGCTCTGCTCCCCAAACTTCCCTACCCTCATCACTGTCCCCACCTTCAAAATCTGCCACCACCATGTTAAGTTAGGGTACAGAGATGCAAACAAGCATATTCAGTGCATGATGTGGGCACACATTGCTGGGAGAGGATGGAAAGCTTGGGAACATGATTGCTTAGAGTGTGCCACAGACGTACAAGAAGAAAGGGTTTTTTAGTGATATTTTTGTTGGATCAATTGTACCTTTGGAACAGATTTTAACCAAGCTTTTCGGTGCAAAGTAGTCTTGCTTGTTGGATATTTTCTGTACTATCACGGGTGCGGCAACACTAACCTTGCTACAGATGTACAGTGCAGAGACTTGGGTAAAGAGAGGAATGGGGATGCTGAATGCAAGGGTCAGTAGGGACTTGAGAACAACATGCCTAGAGTATGATACAAACGCTCAAGCACCAAGTGAGATAAGAACACCCACTTAGATGTAAGAAGCAGTTCATGCCTCTTAGAGCTATCAGATCAAGCTTTATTCATCTCTTTGGCCTGAACTTACTCAGCTCTCCCTCACATGACTCTTACAGCTTCTCTCAACACCATCTTTTGGACACAATAGCTTTTTCTGTTGGAAAAAAATAGAAAATTCACTGCCACAAAGTGAGTTAATGCAAGTTAAGATTGCCCTGTGGTGCCATGTTGTGTGTAACCATGCACTTATAGGCTTTTGAGAGGTTAAAGTATGCACTGCCCTAAAGTATGCACTGCCTTAACTTGGAGGTTTAAATGTACTTGAACTTGTTTTTCCAGAAGGATGCAAAGCATCATTGAGCAACCTTAACTCTGTGTTAATAATGCCTTGTGTTGGTATATATAGAGTGAGTTCTCTAAAAATGTTAGGTACATCATAAAGCTGGTTGTTTTGCAGATTATTATGAAAAGCTTGATGTCGTTAAGGATCACAGCTTGATTTGGAGTCTGGGAATAACAGTAGGCATATTTAGCTGAATTCCATATTTTGTACAGCAAACAACAAGGTTGCTGTTTAGAACATTTGCCCTGAGGGAAGGGGAAAAAAAGTGTTGCTAATTGTGTGCCGTTGAACTGGCATACTAATACTCAGTCATCAAATAGCTCACAAGCATTTAAAGTCTATTCATCACCGTAGGGAGCTATGAGAATGACATCAAAAAAAAAAATTAGAAAAGAAAGGTAAAAGAAAGAAAGGAAAATTTAAAATACTTCTGATTTAATTTGAAAACTATGTTTGCATGACTATGGCAACTTGAAACTCTCCAGCACTACTAACAAGTAATATCAATATCCTGTGCAAGCATGTAATACATGTACAGGCAAAATGTACAGTAAAAATGGTCCGAATTCAGCAGGCCATAAATTGCCAAAAATTGTCTTTGAAGACCAACAGGATTTGCTGATTTTAGCTATTTCTGTAAAAAAAAAAAAAAAAAAAAAAAAAAAAAAAAAAAAAAAAAAAAAAAAAAAAAAAAAAAAAAAAAAAAAAAAAAAAAAAAAAAAAAAAAAAAAAAAAAAAAAAAAAAAAAAAAAAAAAAAAAAAAAAAAAAAAAAAAAAAAAAAAAAAAAAAAAAAAAAAAAAAAAAATGTATGTTTTTAAAAAAAAAAAAAAAAAAAAAAAAAAAAAAAACAAACAAACAAACAAACAAACAAAAAAAAAAACAACCCCCCCCAATCCCCTAAAAGCCCCCCAAAAAACAACCAACTAACCTTTCAGACAAAAAAGTGTGCTGGGCCATGGCTCTGCCCCATGCCATGGCCCTGCTGCTGCTCCTCTGAGGCTGTCCATGTTGCCCCCCCACCCCACTTCCCCCCCAGGGTAGAGTCACAGCCTGAGGGAAGTGGCAGCAGTGGGGCAGCTGAGCCATGGTGGCGGGGTGGAGGCACAGGCAGTGTGCGAGCAGCTGGCAATGGGAGGAAGTGAGGGCAATACAGCATCCCCATCTGTTACTCCTCACACTGCTGGTGTGGGGGTCCTGGCAGTGGCAACAGTCTTGCCACCTGCCACTGGGCCATGGAGGCAGCTCCTGCCTGTGCCAGTCTGGCCAGTCTACAGTCCCAAGCCTGCTATGGGGACACAAATCTGGGGGGGCACATGCCTCCCATGCCCCCACCCCGGTGCATTGTCTGTGCTCCCACACCCCCTCCGATGCCATGTCTATGCCCCACCCCATAGACTTACCTGTAGGGAACTACAGGAGCTGCTGTCCATGCTGCCTGGCTGTCATGTGCATGTGTTCTTGTGCACATGCATGTGGCTACCCCTGCCTGATCACCCTCCTCTTGCTCCCCTCGCCCCAAGCAGCCCCTTGCAGGCTGGAACTCTGCCAGCCTGCAAGGGTTATTCTGTAGTTTCCCATGTTTTTCTCCTTTAAAGGAAAATCCATTTTAAAGTTTATTTGTGACCCTTTCATATATTCTTGCAACCCACTTTTGGGTCACGACCCACAGGTTGAGAAACACTATTATAAACAGGGATCCAGTGTGACAGCTGAAAATTGTGTCTGTATGGTGAAGGTGCTTGCTCAGTGCTCTGTGAGGATTAGACCAGATGTTTCTTGTCGTTTATTCATGTATTGCATGCTGTATGTTGCCGCTAAGAGCTTAATTAAAGTCAAAGACTAGTAAGGCCTTGTATATAGTGAGGCCTTGTAAGATTAGTGAAGCCTTAAATGTAGTAAGGCCTTGTATGTAGTAGCGCAGTTAAAATTAACCTTATCAAAAAAATGCAAAAGCTTGTACTGCTATTAGTCAGTCATAAAGAAAGTTCGTCGTGAGTGGCTGTGAGTCCACAGCGT